TTTGCTGCCGTCCCAGCCCGGGCCGCGTGTCTCGCCAGCGTGGAGCAGCTCTGCCCGCTGCAACAGCATGGGGAGGCTGTGGCAAGCCCTGCTGTCTGCAATGGCATCGCCCAAAACAAGGGGCACCACCGGACCGAGCGCAACGCGGTGTGTTTGAGAACGCACACAGCTCATTACACCGAGAAGCGACCGTGCACTGTAAAGGCAATTCCTGGGTTTCTAAGGGGAGGAGGTTTCTGTTTGCTCATCTGCCAGCTCTCCCCTGAAATTGCCTGGTTTACGAGCCTGTTAGCTGGTTTAAAACATTATAAAATGTAGCGAAGGGAATAAAAGAGGGATCTCGGAGACCCCCCCGTCCTCCGGAGCTCATGGCCACCAGCGCCTGTGCGAAGGAGAGGTTCAAACTGCAGCCCTCACCCCGGGAAGGCTGGAGCAGGAGCCCACTGGGTCGGCAGGGAGACAGACGGGCCCGTGGGTTCCCAGCATGGGTGTAGCTGTGCGCGCGCGCACGCACGCGTGTGTGTTCACGTGGACGCGCGTGCCTGCATGTGTGTATGCTCGTGTGCATCCACGCGTGTGCACACCCATGCCTGTGCTCGTGCATCTCCAGCCCTCTGCACCCCACAGGGACAATGTCCCGTCGGGGTGGGAGAAGGTCCTGGTGGAGACACGGCTCCCTGGGGATTTGGCTGCGTTTCATCAGCACGCTGAAAATCCCACATTTGCACAATCTCATGGCCAGGCTGCCTCTTGGGAGCCGTCCCTGGCCCGCGCCCTGTCCCAAAACGCTCTTGCAAACCGGCGCTGCTGTCGGCGAGCGCTCGGCGCGGGGGCTTTGCTTCGGGTGGTCGGATCCAGCCTGGTTCAGCCTTTCCCGGCTCAGAGGAGCCACTTTCCATCCCTGAAATAGCAACTCAGAGGATGCTCTCGGCAGCTGGGGATGATGATGCAAAACGCTCATTATCCAGCAGGAACAATTAGACCTACAGCAATTATCTCTGCAGTTGCTGAGAGATGCCGGAATGGGCCGGCCGGCAGCCAGCTCCCGCTGTAATCCCCGGGCGGGAGAAGTGAGGAGCCCAGACTTGCCAGGAGCTGCCATTGCCGTGGAGGAAGAACAAAACACAGCAGGAGCATCCGAAGAGCCTCCTGCAGCGCCAGGAGCGCCGGTTTCGCGCGGGAGTGAGAGCGAGGACAGGCAACTGTTTATCTGAAAGCCAAATGTCCCTCTCTAATGACATTTGTTTGCATTCAGATTAATGATGAAATGGCCCGAGCCACGCGGGGTTTAGAAGGTGTTACGGACTGAATCGCTTTGCGTGATGCTCCGGCCTCCCTCTCTGCCGGCTGCCGTTGCGGGAGAAGCCAGGCTGGGCTCAGCTTTATCCGCAAGGCAGAAACGGGCAAAAGCTGGTCCAGGCTGGATGGAGCCGTGGGCACCGATGGTCACCGAGCCAGGCAGCGGTTGCTGAGCTGGGCTTTAGGGCACATTCCTTTGGGGGAAAAAGTCAGGCTTCTGGCTGGGAAATGCCCATGGGGTAAAGGCACAAAGGACAACTTCGCTCATTCGAGTCAGAACAACAAGGAAGGGTTTTACTTTCCCCCTTGACATTGTTTGAAAACCTTATTTTGACGCTGCTAGAATGAAGCAAGCCCTTCTCCCCAACAGCTGCTCGGAGCCAAAACCACAAACCAATCCCAGCCTGATAAACAATTCCTCCTTGGATAAATCAGAGTGAAGCTGGGATGGTGAGAAAGCTTTTGGGCAGGATGGGATGAGCTGAGCACTGGATCACCAGCCGATGCCCCGGGGGTGGCCAGGAGCAAGGGAGTGGGAACAGGAGGGATGCAGGGAGCCTGCTCTAGGAAAACCCAGGCATTTTCCACCGAAAACCTTATATGAGGCAAGCATGCCACCACATCGTGGCCATGTTTGTGTCACAAGAGCCAGCAAAATTCCCAGGAAAGTTTAGCTACCTGGTCAGCAAAAATTCTCCTATACGCTGTGTTTATTAGTGGTTAAACTTTAAACCCTTGGCAAACAGGGCTTCTTGGGGCCAGGGACGCGTGACCCTGACAAGCCGCCCCGTGTGCTGCCAGCCCCAAAATTGTGCGAGAGCTGCCGGTGCGGCCGAGGAGGGGGACAGGCTGCTCCAGGCGAGGGGGAACAGCAGCACCCCGGGGGTCCAGGCTTGGCTGCAGTTGCCAAAGGGAGCCCAGGGCCAGGAGGAGGAAGGCTCACCAAAATGTTGCTCTTGCCATGGCCATGGCCCTGCAGAAATGCACTTTTCCCCAGGCCAGGAGAAGCATTAAATGGTTCCTTGCCGGAGCTGGATGGAGACTTCTCCATCTCCCGGTGCCTTGATTTGCAAGAGAGACGTGTCTCCCACAACGCGAGCGCTGCCCCAGAAACCCACCTCTCTGGCATATAAAACTATTCTTCAGGGACACCTGATTCATCTTGCAAAGCCCCTGTAAAATTTGTCTGTTTTCAGTAATTAGGCCAATCACAGTAAATGGTATTTGCAATTCAAGCCAATGACGGGCTAAAATTTTAACCTGATGCCTTTTCAGTGGTGCCGAAACAAGGTCCAAAAAAGCTCCTTTCCTCTCCCCCTGAGTTAAGTAACCACAGAGAAACATTTTGAAGTGCTCAGACATCAGGTAATGGCTTTTGCTGCCACACTTGAAGGGATGACAAACACACAAACAAAGTCTGACCCACTTTAGCAGAATAAGAACTACACCAAGAAAGAGAGCAGGGTTTTCAGTGAAGTCCTTAATGCGGCCCCATCAGGGAGCCTCTGCTGCATGCATCCAGATAAATTTATCGCGACAAGTCTGTCCTCTGAACAGAGCGAGCTGTGAAGCCCGCACCGTGCCCGTGCGAAGAGCAGCGCTGCACTGGGAGCCACGGATGCACGAGCAGAGGGGTGCACGCAGGGATGCACACAGGGGTGCACACAGGGATGCACACAGGGATGCACACAGGGGTGCACACAGGGATGCACGAGCACAGGGATGCACACAGGGGTGCACACAGGGATGCACACAGGGATGCACACAGGGAGGCACACAGGGATGCACACAGGGATGCACACAGGGGTGCACACAGGGATGCACACAGGGATGCACACAGGGGTGCACACAGGGATGCACACAGGGATGCACACAGGGGTGCACACAGGGATGCACACAGGGATGCACACAGGGGTGCACACAGGGATGCACACAGGGATGCACACAGGGGTGCACACAGGGGCGCACACAGGGATGCACGCGCACAGGGATGCACACAGGGGTGCACACAGGGATGCACACAGGGGTGCACACAGGGATGCACACAGGGGTGCACACAGAGGCGCACACAGGGATGCACGTGCCCAGAGATGCACATGCATGTGCTCTCCTGCTCCATCACCTCCCCAACACGCAGGGTGTGTATCCAGGAGGTCAGGGAAGAAATCCTTGCCCGGGCCAGGCACTGGGCACTGGTGCAGGCTCTTGCAGCATTGCTTCAAGGCAATGATTGTATGTCGAGAGTGCAAACGCCACTGCCTCATGTGTTTCGTGGCACGTGTTTTGTGGCTAACTCATTATTTGTAAATAATGTCAGGGACGTTGCTGAGCCACTGTGCTGCGAGTGGGAGCCAGCAGGGATCCGGGGCTGTTTTTGCCCAGTGGTAACAAGGGCACTTCCCTCTGCAACTGTAGGTTTCCTCAGGGACACCCCAAATCCACATTCCAAGCTCCTGCCTTGCTCCTGCGAGATGACTTTCACCCCTTTGCACTGGGTGGAAACTGAGGCTGCGAGCACTCGAGCCTGACTCTGGGATGACCTGGTGGGACCCTTGCAGGGAATGGTGGCTCCCAGGACCCACCACCCCGGGATGCCCCATGGGCACAGCGCTGCCCGACGGAGGTGGTGAACTTCAGAGCCGCTTGCGCCCAGAGATGGGGCAGGCTGG